TTTATATCTTTTGCTGAATCAGTTTTTAGAATGGCAGAAATAGTTAGGATATAAGAAAGAAGGGTGAAAAATGAGCTAAAATCAGATATCAATTCAAATATTAGTCCAATGTAATTACTGAAAGTCTCTGCACAAACAATGGCAAGAGAAATTCTGGCAAGATCAAAGGGGGAGGTTTAACCCTTTATGTGAACAAAAGCTGGTGTATCAATACAAAGACTATAGACAGCCACTGCTCCATGGATCTGGAGTATATGACTCTTAAATGTAGACCCATATATCTTCCACGGGAATTCAGCATGGTTTTGATTACTGCAGTCTATGTCCCTCCTGATGCCAATACTACCATAGCTTTGGGATTCCTGTATAACACTGTTAGTAATCAGCAGAATAATATCCTGATGCTGTGCATATCATAGCAGGGGACTTTAATGAAGCTGATTTAAAAGAAGTGCCCCCTAAATTCTATCAGCATCTTAAGTGTGCTACTAGAGGAGCAAACATATTGGACAAAGTATATACCAACATCAAACATAACTATAAGGGTATACAATTATCACATTTGGGACAATCAGACCATATGTCACTGCCTTTAGCACCAGCGTACATCCCTCTTAGGAGATGGGCTCTGCCTATAATAAAGACAGTGAAATCTTGGCCAGAAGATGCTTTCCAACAACTTCAGGATTGTTTTGAGAACACAAATTGGGACATATTTTACCACCCTGATCCAGAGGTGTACACTGCAACTGTTCTGTGCTATATCAAACACTGCACAGATACTATCACTGTGGATAAACGTATTAGGATCTATCCCAATCAGAAACCCTGGATGACCAAGGATGATTGGATTAAAGACTTTCTGATGGACCAGCCACAAACAGTCAGAGTTGGGTCTTTCACATCCTTCTCCCTGACTCTCAGCACTGGCTTTTCTCAGTGTGTGCTCAGTCCCTACCTGTACTCATTGTACATATACGACTGCATATCTTCTAATCTATCTAATGTGATAATAAAGTTTGCAGATGATACCACTGTACTGGGTCTCATTACAGGAGGAGATGAATTAGCATACAGGGAAGAAGTCCAAAAGTTATCCATATGATGCTCAGAAAAAAACTTGCATCTAAACACCAGCAAGACAAAGGGAATGGTGTTCGACTTCTGGAAGCAGAGAGAGGAACAGGTTGTCAGGAAGGCTCAACAGAGACTCCGTTTCCTTAGGGTCTTGTGGAAATATCAAGTGGAACAATGACTGATTACTTCCTTTTACCGGTCTATGATAGAAAGTGTCCTTACATATTGTGTTATGGTATAGTATGCTGGCTTGATAGCCATGGACAAAAAGGCATTACAGAGGAGGATGAGCACAGCAGAAAAAATATGGGCTGACATCACTGGACAAAATTGCCAGAGCCCACTGCCTCAGCAGAGTGAGGAAAATCCTCAGGGATGATTCATACCCTGGTCAGAACTTCTTTACTCTCCTACCATTCAGCAGGAGATATAGAAGCATAGCCAGCCAAACAAATAGGCTGAAAAATAGCTTTTATCTATTGGCTGTCAGACTTCTGAATGCACCATAACACCACAATTAGGTTTAATATGATAGACTTACAGGGCCAGCACCAAGGGAGGCTCATTTTAATTTCATTGTACGCATGTTGTGCATTGATAATAAACATTTGATTTGATTTGATTTGATATAAAAAAACCCAACCCCTGTATTTCAATGTAAATTTTAAAGCATTCATGCACACATTTTTCCATTACTCAAGCATTATATCCAAAATTCCTTGCCAACTGAATCATACAGTTTCACATATTTATTTTTAAATTTTGATTTCAACAAAATTGTATGATCCTTAGTAACAATATATTAATCATAGGCACATCATAGCAATTTCATTTTTTTTTACAAATTCAAATCCATATTTTTTCTTGTCTAAATTATATTTTTCCTTAGGCACACCAGAGGTAAAGATGTCCTTCTAATTCAAATTCTTCCTTTAATTTGGGATTATGTTCATTTTGGCTAAAATGCATTATTTGGTTATACATCAACCAGTCTAGTCCTACCATCATTTCTTAAAAAAAAAAAAAAAAAAACCATTCCTTCATTGGGTTTGTTTTAATCATCATATGAGAAGGAATATGAGTTTTTTGGTTTATAGTTTAGCCTTTAAAATCCGCAGAGCCACTTTATCCTATGAGGATGATTTATCTGAACATGGGTTTAACCAAATTACATGGGTTATGACTAGAAATCTTAAAAATTAAAAATTGCAGCATGAAGAATATGTATAGCATTTTATTTAGTATCGAATCATTAAAATGTTCAGGTGTATCTCTTTAGCTTTCCTTCATAGCTTCAACAACTTTAAATAGCAACAACAACAAAAAGATACACTATTCATTTTAATCATTACCTTTAAAATATATGGATTTACAAATGTCATGAATACTTTTAACTTTGATATGAATAGAATAGAATAACAGAGTCAAAGGGGACTTTGGGGGTCTTCTAGTCCAATCCCTTGCTTAGGTAGGAAACCTTACACCACTTCAGATAAATGGTTATCCAATTTCTTCTTTAAAAATTCCATTGTTGGAGAAATTACAACTTCTAGAGGCAAGTTGTTCCAATGATGAATTGTTCTGTCAGGAAATTTCTCCTTAGTTCTAAGTTGCTTCTCTCCTTGATTAGTTTTCACCTATTGCTTCTTGTCCTACCTCAGATGCTTTGGAGAATAGCTTGACTTCCTCTTCTTTGTGGCAGCTCCTGAGATATTAGAACACTGCTATCATGTCTCCCCTAGTCCTTCTTTTCAGAAAACTAAACATACCCAGTTCCACCAACAGGTCATTATATGTTTTAGCCTCCAGTCCCTTAATCATCTTCGTTGCTCTTCTCTGCACTCTTTCTAGAGTCTCAACATCTTTTTTACATTGTGGCAACCAAAACTGTATGCAGTATGAAATGATGGTTTTCAATGTTTCTGTTAAAAAGGCATACCATAACATGGTGCAGAATATATTGAATTCTTATTTACTTCAAATATGCAGCAGTTCCTATATAAATACATTAATATCTGTTTATGAATAAATATTTTGAATAACAATTAAAATCTGTTCTATAAGATTGAATATATTTTGAGATGTATGAGATTTTTTAAATGATATTTTATTGGGAGTATATGCTTTTATAGCATTTATACAGAGAGAGAGAGAGACACACACACACACACAGAGAGAGAGAGAGAGAGAGAGAGACAGAGAGACAGAGAGACAGAGAGAGACAGAGAGACAGAGACAGAGTTAGAAAATGCCTACCTTGTTTTGATTGGGTAATTGCACATTAATTCAGCAACACAACACTGGGAGACCATATTTGGTAAAGGTAAAAATTATCCCTGTTCAGTTCTGTCTAAAGAGCAGTGCTCAATTCTGTTTCCTATCTGAGGGAGCCAGCATTATTCAAAGATACTTCTATAGTGATGTGGTTAGCATGACTATATGCCAAAGTGCATGGAATGCCATTAATTTCCAAGTGAAGTGGTACCTATTTATTGACTTGCATTTGCATTTAGAATTACTACGTTGTCAAGAGATGTGCTCACTCAGTCACACAGTACTTGGGTCTCAAATTGTTGACCTTCCAGTCAACAACTGTCTTAACAATTGTGTCTTAAGCACTAGGCCAATGTGTTCTGACCTGCTATAATATTAATATTTTATTATTAGTCAGTGGTGGATCTATGTAAATATTAAAAGTTCTGCATATTGCTTCAAGATTATGGAATGGGCTTACATTTTCCAGACATTTTCAATAGAACAGATCTGATATCTTTGTTTTTCAGGCTGTATATAATTGGATTTAGCATTGGAGTTAAAATCCTATACTGAATAGAAATCACTTTGTCCAGATCCATGAGTGATTCTGAACTTGGCTTCATATAGCGAATCAAAGCAGAAATGTAAAATAAGCCCAGAACAATGAGATGGGAGCTGCATGTAGAAAAAGCTTTCTGCCTGCCTTCCACTGATTTAATTTTCAGGATTGTTAAAATAATGTAAATATAAGAGACAAGTGTTGTAAGAAGTGAACTGAAACCAAACAGCATCACAGATATGAAAAGAATAATGTAATTAGTAAAGGTGTTTGCACATGATAAGGCCAAAAGTGTAGGAAGTTCACAGGTATAGTGGCTGATTATATTGTTGCCACAAAAATGAAGATTTTGCAATGGTACTACATTTACCATAGAATAAAAGAAACCCAGGAGCCAGGCTCCAGCCACAATTTTATTACACCTCTCTCTTGTCAAGTATATGCTGTAATGCAAGGGGTTACAGATAGCCACATATCGGTCATAACCCATTGCTGCAAGGATATATACTTCTGTACAAGCAATTTGGAAAAAGAAAGAAATTTGTGCAATGCATCCTTCCCAGGAAATTGTTTTCTGGTTCATTAGGAAGTTTGCCAGCATCTTGGGAACAGTGACTGAAGAACAGCAGATGTCAACAAAAGCTAAATGGCTGATAAAGAAGAACATGGGGGCCTGAAGGTGAAGATCAGATTTGATCACCAATATAATTACCATATTGCCCAAAATTGTGAATAAATACATGACCATGAACAAGAGAAGAAGAACATTCTGTACCAGTGGATCATTGGAGAGACCCAACAGAATAAAATCTGTTACCATAGATTGATTTTCTAAATCAGATGATTTAAGAATCATAGGATCTATGAGAAAAGAAAAGAAAAATTATAAACCTTCAAACATTGTTTGAAACAATGTTGAAAACTACATGAGAATGTATTTTACTCACCGTATTTAAAGTTGTTTTTTTCAATTTCATGAAGAGCTTAGATATTTTCATTACATTTTAATGCATTAATTATTCCAAAATGTACTTATTCTTGGACATCATTTGTGCATTTATGAAGTGAATTTATCACATAGAAATAAAGGTTATTGCACATGAATAAAACATTGTATTTGAATTAAAGTCCTCTTTATCTGATAGAAAGGCATTGTCTTAAAAAATAGTCATAAGGAAAAGATTGACACAAATAACTACATATTTCTACATATTCATAATGCACAGATTTCCAGACCTTCAAACATGAAATGTTAAACTATTGCCCTTGTAATTCTTTGGTAAGACTGTCTCACGTCCCTTCCCTCTGGCCCAAGTAACAACTGGTAATTATTAGTCCTGGTGATATTTTCTTTACCTTAATCAAATGTCACCAAGTGAGGGTGGCTGCTGTGAAAAAATGGAAACAGCAAGCTTTAATGTTTTGCAAAATATCTAAATAGATGTGATATATACATTATTCTTTCTTCCAAAAATGGAAAAATGTCAATTGATTTTGATAAGATTACTCTTTTCTTCTTTAAGCAATATTGATTCGACCCTCTATTTTCACTCTGAAGATTTGCTTATACAAACTTTATTGACATATGTAACTCAAGCGAAAATTTTTACTGAAACCTAAAAATGGACAGAATTAGCCCTGCTAATCCCTTGAAACATGGTTCTCAGCAATAATGATCTATATATAGCCCAACTGAAGTATCACAATTTAAACTGGTATCACAATTTAAACTGGATTTGATTAAAAGAGTATTTTAATTTCAATTTCCATGTGTTTTTCAATCATTTCATTAGTTAATTTTGCTCAGTGTTGCACTAAAATATAAAAAAGACACAATCTATATTAGAGAACTCGTTCCTAAAACTACTTTCTTCTTCTAAACCCCATTATCCACATCAGACATGAATTTACCTTGTAGGAAGTAGTTCTTTTGCAGCAGAGACATACTTTGCCTCCTTGTATCTTTGCCTCCTTGTCCAAATGCCTGGAAGCTTTTCTTGGAAAATGATAATAAAAAAGGCAAGCGCATCAATGTGCTTACCATCCCTATCCTAATGTTTCCTTTTATGCTTATCCATTTCATGTATTCATCGTGTTTATATTTATATCTGTTATCTAATACATGATTGACAAGTACCAATATTCCTTCTGGAATTCAAGGCACTCGAAACCAATTAGGAATATATTGCTCAGAAATTAAAATAGATTAAGTGTGGATATTTTTTTTTTGCTTTTCCCATCTTTTATTTCATTTAAAGTAAGAGTATAACATACTGATCTTACAGTTACAGTAATGCTGAAGTCATGAAATATTTGTTGATACCTTCAAAGGAAACACAAAAAAATCAATGGCTTTTTCGTCTTCACTCCTCAATCCATAATAACTGTCTTCATAAAATCATGTATGAATAAAAACATTTTTATATTTTTAGTTAGTAGTACAAAAAAGGGAGATAATTGTAGAGAAAATAGAGATATAAATAATTTAAGCTTTTCCACGTTTATTCCAATCATATCCAAATTTTCAAAAAAAAAAAAATCACATATTTTCTAATTTAATTCTTTCTGCAAGAAATCTGTGGATGAATCTTGAGTATGATTGAAAGGATAAATGAATATGTTAAACATCCATTTCAAGATGAGTTATAAAATATTTATTTGTTTATTTACATTTAAATTCCCAACTCCAATTCTTCTAGATAAAATGGTTTAGAAAAATTCATATCAATCATACATAAAGATTGTTTTAGCATAACTTGTTTTTGCATAATAATTTTTAAGTTTTCTAAAATCAACAAAACTGATTGCTTCTTACTCACACTTCTAAAACACTAGAGGAACTTGCCAATTTAAAAACTAAAGAAATAAATTAAAACAAGCCAACAAATGTTTTTAAAACTAAAACTATGACCCAGTTCAAAAACTTAAGTAATCTCAGGATTCAGCCTAACATGCCACATACCTATCTTATTGTCAGGTCTTTATTTCCATTTGAAAATCAATGTAAAAGAGAAAGAGAAATTTTACATGATATTTTACTATTTCTGAAGAATCAGTCCATAACAAAGATTATTTACCTTAATGTTTCAGTCTGAATATTACTTTTAATCTCATTCTCTCCCTTCTTCCCTTTCTCCCTTTTTCCCTCCTCCCTTCCTTCCAGTCAGTGTGTATTGATACATAATAATTTCCTGGACATGTCCCTGCAGTTTTCTTGGAAATATTTCAGAAGTGGCTTGCTATTGCCTTCTTCCAAGCCTCAGAAGGAGTAGTAGCCCAAACTGACCCGACTCCCTCAAATCTCTAATAATAATTTATTATTTATTAAACAAATATATATGGCCACCCAACTCACACATAGATGATTTTGGGTGGCCTACAACATTACAAACCACAACATAAAAAAACGTAACACTTCCCATGGCAGCAACAATACAATCAGATCCACCTGATTGGCTCCATCTCGATTTGGATCCTAGGTCTGATGACAAAGTGACATCTTCAGGGCCTTTTCGAAAAACAACAAGGTGGGGATTCAATATACTTGTGTGTGGGCTGATATTTCACAGAGAAGGGCTCATCACTAAAAGGACCTTTTCCAAAATCCACAGGATTATATATTACTAATAGGTGGGTCCCACAACATATCCTACCATCCAGACATAGTGGGCTGGGCAAATGTAATGAGGATAGGACTTTCAAATAGCCTGGCCCCAAGTCATTGTGAGGCATGTTGAATTGTACCTGGAAGCAGATTGGCAGCCAGTGCAGCTCCCCAAAAAAGAGGTGACACATGTGTAACTTTAGGCTTGCAACAAAATTGTGTGGGGTATTGCATTTTTCATATTACATATAATTTATTGACTACTCTATTTGTTTTAGTATCTAAGCTAAATTCTTATATACTTAGATTTAGAAAAATATCTTTGAAAAAATATATTTCAAGATGTATTCTTTGAGAAAGAAATTTTAAAAAATGATATTTCCATGTTTGTGCATACTTTCAGACCATCTTGTATTAAAATAAATTTTGAAAGATGAATCATACATGTTTGTGTGCAGATGCAGAAAAAGAATCAGAGAAAGATCATCTTGTGTTGAATGTAATATACCTAATAATCAGGGGTGGGATTCTATCGGTTCTGACCGGTTCTATAGAACCCCTTGTTAACTTTCTAGG